ATAGTGAATGATGTTGGTGTAAACTTGATTTAATTAGAGTTACTCTTCTGCCTCCAATTTATTTTGCTGTTTCCTACTGTTTTTTTGCACTTTGAATAATGTTGCTTACCCCTCAAATGAATAGTGTGATAGCTGATATGCTTAAGTGGGTATATTAAAAAAAGAAAAATGGCTGAAATCTTGTGAGTTTGTCAATCTCAGTGGATACTCTCATAAATCTTTGGTGATTTTTTTTTTTTTTTGGTGCCTCTGAGTCATTGTTGACTCCTGGCAACTGCCTGGACAAGTCCCTACAGTTTTCTTGGCAAGGTTTTTCAGAAGTGGTTTGCCATTTCCTCCTTCCTAGAGCTGAGAGTGTGACTGGCCCAAGGTCACCCAACTAAGAGGCACTATATACCAAATTCTTGGTATTCTGGGTTTTGATTTTGCTTTCCAATGCATTCCAGAAATTATATGAAAATGTATAAGCATATACAAAATCAGCAGTGACCAAATGACTTGAAAATCCTCTTCCTTAAACATTATCAAAAAGAAACCAGTAATGAATATAGGATAGGCAAAGAACATTCTGGGGCTATAGATCATATATTTATTCTTCCCGTACTGTATAATAATTCTCTATTATACTGCATGTACAAAGTGTCTAAGTGTCTTGTTTAGGTTGCTATATACCATGTATTCAGGATTTGGCCTTTAAAAAGTTTGCTGCTTTAACAAGCAGTGAATGTAAGGTCATGTTAACAGTCCTGTGAATTTCAGACCAAAATGTAGCAGTGGGGGAAAAGTCAGTCTCATGTAAGTCTAACTAACTATTAATAAACTTTTTTGACATGATATTTGAGGTAAAAAGCTTTCTTCACAGATTTTTAAATTATACTGATTTAATCTCCTGATGCTACTAACACCTGGACAAGATCATAGGATTGATATGGGTTGGCAATTGTGTGCTACCTTCCACGTGACCAGGATCAGGAAGTATCCAGAATGGTGGCCAAATTTTAGGCCACAGCTGCGACAGTCAGAAATTACTGGATCTGACCATCGTCTAGGTAGCTTAGCCATAGGCATAAACACACAAATTTGTATTATTTTCCAACTTTTTTTTTAAATCTAAGGCCATGTATTTTAATAAAAATAAAAATTATGGGATCATAGGAAAAAAGCAACCTTTCAAATACTCTGTTGTCAACCTCCATGAGATGCTGGAGGTCACAAACAGCAATTTGAATTTTGCCCTCAAAGAGACTGGGAACCTTTGTCACAGAGTGTTATAAGTTAATATGCTTTCCCAATGTGACATTGATATAATGGCAATGAATAGAAGATGCAGGTGCAAGCTCCTAACTGTACAATTTTCCTCTAAAGCCCTATTAATTGCCTCAAACCATTTTTTCTCATAGAATCAGCTTTAATTTGGAGAGGGGAGCAGTCCAGAGACACGTGATAAATACCAGGAATACAATAACAGAGAAGATAATAGCAGTGTATTTTGGTTCCATTTTTAAAAGAAATTACAGCTATTTAGAAGAATACATTTAATTCAGTTGATGCATAAGTGCCTCCAAACAAAATCTCATAAATAAAGACATTTGTGACCTTCTTCCTCAGGAAATGGGTCAATTCCTGACTGAAAAAGCTACATGATTGTGCAGAGGGATCTGTCTATATTGCGGGTGGATTAAACAATATTCTTGATCAGCAGAAATGGATTAAAAACAGCAATCATTCATCCAAACAGATGGAGAGCGATTTGCAAGTGGTGCATGGAGACATACATTAAAATTCAAAGACAATTACAAGTTTTACTCTTCTAAAGCATCTTAGCATAGTGAACATGGGGAGATTATTATTCAGTAGGTGAGTGAGCCAACGGTTATTCATGGAGGTCTTCTGGCAAAGGAAGCCTGCATTTATTTCCTGTTTTGCATGGAAGAAAAGTCTGAGCTCCCACCTACACATTTCCTTTTTTGAAAAGAACTATGACTCAGCAAGCAGCATTTCAACTAGCAGGCATATGGCTTGGATGTGTTCAACTAGAAACACATGTGTCCTTTGAATGCAGCACCTTCCTCGTGTGTGGCTCTGTATTTATAAGTAAAAATTATAACAACCTGTGAAAATTCAGAGTAGAAATTCCATGCATTCTCATTTTAAAAATACCTTGATGGTATGTATTTATTTCTCTTGGATCATTATGTTCAAATAAAATATTTTCTAAGCATTTGTTCTGAAGAACTGAAACAAGCATCTCAGAGACATTTCTCCTTCCCTTCCTGTTTTGTATGTATTTCTGGTGCTCATCTGTATTTATTTAAGAACATTTATCAGCTGCCCCAATCTGGCTGACTCTGGGCAGTATACTTGAGCAAATCAATACAGAGTACTTCAACAATTAAAACAGACCACCCCCCCCACCCCCAAAATAAGAGCACTCTGTTATACAACTACTTAGCAAAAACTTTGGGCTAAACTCTGATCACAGTTATAAGGACCATGGTCAGAATTCCATGTATCTTCATGTTGTCCATCACATTTCTTCCCTAAATGTTTTATCTATTGGCCAGCCTTGACTCAGCTGCCAAACCTCACTGCACCATACAGAAGCTCTTTGAGGATCTTTTTGCATTTCATTTTATCCCAGTCAGATAATAGATCTTTTTTTCAGCCTTTTAAAAATTGCCTTTATGCATTCTGTTAAGCCAAATTTCCTGAACCAAGGTTTATCAAATAAGACATTAGCTGTAGATAACAAACCACAATAACAAAGACCACATGGTACACTAAACTAAACCCAAACCATATTATGGCTTAGCATGATGTTTGAACCAGGCCTACATCTTTTTTTTTTTTAAACAGCTTATTTTGTTTATTATAGGTTTTGTATGCTTTATGTATATTCAGGGCACTGTGTGTTAGTAATATTCTTTGGCCCACTGCAGCTCATGTAGTTTGAAGAGATGTATTAGCTGGGCAGAGTTTTGTCAGTATTCTTAATAGGTGATTCGTAAAGTTAGCCATGTTTGGTCTGTGCTGCTTCACTTCATTTCACTATAATGCAGCAGTAGACAGGGGGCTTTCTTGAACCTGTTCATCCACTGTAAGTTGTTTTGCCCATCTGTTTTCATCCCTGCTCCACTTGCTCCCATCACATTGTAGGCCTTGTTGATTACTTTCAAGCCCACATGTGTTAGGATGCTGTAAAAGATGACCAACAGTGGTACCAGTGCTCCCAAGTCATGAACTGAGTGTGGGCCTGCCAAATCCTCTGTCTTTCCAAAGCGTTCTGTAGATCTTGCATGCGTGGTTTGGTCTATTCATCCTTGATCTTATATTTGTATCACTTATATCATATTTGTATCGTTGCAATTGGATACATTACTCCAAACAGGCCCTTAATCATTGTCACCTGTATAAAATAGCTACCAATCTCTTGGCCGATGTAGCCAGTCATTTGAAGACATGAACTTTCCTTTTTGCCAAGACTATCAGCCCTGGACTGCTTACTCTGAATCTTGTTTTGAAGGTCCAGATCTGTCCCATCTTGTGATTTTTTCCAACAGTGAAAGTTTTAGAACTAAACTTCAATATTCCCTGTCAGAGGCCTTGTCACATGATGTAACCTTCAAAGTAAAAAATATTGCAGACATACCAAGTGTTTGGTTAAACCAAATCTTCCAATGGATCTCTAGGCAAACATAAGCTTACTGAAGTGTTATGTTAGCATATTATTTCAGACAACCATATGAGACTAAATGAGTTTATATACCAAATGAATTCAGAGCAGCGATGTAAGAAATACAAATAAAAACGAAAGCATCACTTTGAAGAAAAATACCAACTCGGATTGCAGATTTAGCTATTGATTACACTAATGCACCATTCTTCCTTGAAAGAGCCATGATGTAGCTATGGTGCCCATACAATCTCTTTTCCTGTCCAGGCAGCTCATAGAACCTTTGAGTAATGCAGGCAGATAATTTTTAGACTCCTTCCATACTCAAGGTTTGCATTTGATCTGGGATTGGTCCCCATGACTCAGTGTTTTGGAGGATTTCACTAACTAAGCCAATTAAGTTTTGCCCAAGTGCTGCTGTAGAAGAATGCTGAGAAAACAGGTGAATAATGTTTCCAGGGACTCTACATGTAATCATCTGACAATCCCCTTTTCACTGGTAATCTGAATTACTTTACTTTAAAATGGAGAAAGCCAACTCTGTTGCATGACAAGGTGATTCTGCTCATCTGCTGAGTAGCCTCCTGGACCTCTGCCCCAAAGCTTCATGAGGTTGCTGAACCCATGTCAATAATGCCATGGGTACTGGCGGCATCTTAATTTTTTCAGTATTTAGAAACAGGTCTTTCAATGGATAGCCATTCCAAAAAGTGGTCAGGGTACAATAAAAACTAGATTGGATTTAAAATGTAATTGAAAATAAAAAGTCATTCAGCCTAAAGTAATTAAATGATTAATATGGTTACGGCCATGGAATTAATAATTTTCTTTTTGTTTTGGTCACATTAAAAATTATAATTTGGCAGCAAGTTTTGAGTCATTCTGGGGACCACATGCCACTCTGGAGAAATAGCAGGAAATCCCTGCACACTTAATTTCCTCTACCATGATCTCTATCTTCAGAGTTAACAGTTCAGTTATAAAAAATGAACGTGAAGTAGCAGCATTTGTGAAAGTGGAATGAGGCAACAGGCAATGAGGGATATCCTGAGGCTTGGATTCTCTCAAGCTGTTAGACTGCAAACAGTTGCTGACCAGTAAAGCAGAAGTCTGTTTCCTTAGCTGGCCTGCAATTGGTGTTTTGTCAAAGGTGTGAGAAAAGTGACTGGAGGCATAAAGTAGAGCAGAATCTGGTTCCCATTAGATATGCATATTTCTGAAATGACTCTTGATACAAATTCACCCCCCATAGCATTAAAAAAAAACCACATATAAAATATACAAAAGGGAATAATTACAACAACCATTTGTTTGTTTTGTTTTGGTATAAGAATATATTATTTAAAAGGCAACCTTAAAAATTAAAAAAAAAAAATCTTGTACAACAGTGGTGGCTCCTTAACATTTGTACCCATAAGGAAAAATACTAGTCTTTAGAAAAGGAATGTGAAAAGTGCTTGTGTAGTGTTAATTATTCAGCTTCATCCTTCGTCCACGCTGGATAATCCCACAATGCTTAGATGAACTTGGCAAACCTCTAAAAGATCTTTGTATCAACTGTAATGCTGAAATTAAAACACAAACATCATTAGCCCCCAAAAATAAGGTCTGATTCACCCAGACATTTTGGCATGGTTCAGACATGCTGGTTCAGTATAGGAATAAGTTTTAAATACAACAATTGTGCTAGTTCTCAGGATCTCTGAGCTTATCCTCAAGTCCCCCACAAAGATACACTGCTGTTTTCAATGGACAAGTCCTCCGGAAGCTGGCTTCATCTCATTCTCAGCCCACATTGAAGGCAGCTGAAATCTGACCATTTTAAGCTACTGCAGGTACATTTCCGCTGCTTTCCTCTCTTCTGGCCCTTGGATGTTATTTGCCAGAGCCCTTCTGCTGACCCTAAGGCTCCAGGACAAAGAGGGCTGGCAAAAGAAGTGATGGTGCTGGGAAGCTGACTCTTTCCCCATCAGGCCTCTGATTGCACACAACTCCTCTGTGGGATCAGAAACTTGGCAAGTAAAAAGACACCTCTCCCCCCTTCTCCTGCTCCTCCTCCCAGACCTGGCAGCAGATCCCCAGTTGCTGAAGCTTAAAGTGGTGGCAAGAAAAGTGAGAGGAGAAGCCAAATCTTTTGCCACCAGTTGCACAAAGCTGAAGTGGCTTCCCTTTCTCAGCATCGATTAAGCCAGCCTGAAAAAGGTGGCATTGTGGGGTGAAGCATGGTGAAGCAGGAGACCCCCTACTTTACCACACAGCCCTATGGTGCCTGTCAAGCCCTTTTTAAACACAGATTTATCATTATTCTGGAAGAACACTAGGCCCCTATTTAAAATCAGTTTAGGAAACAGCTGGCAGGTAAGGAGGGATACCTTACATTCACATTCCTCACTGCCCCTGGACTGAAGATCTGCTGCCAGATCTGGGAGGGGTGGCTTTTTACCTGCCAGATTTCCAGTCCCACAGAGTAGCTCCTTATGATCAGACTCCTGACAGGCACAGAGTCAGCTTCTCCCCACTTCTCTTGCCATCCCTCCCAGAGAATCAGCTGAAGAGGATCTGATCTTCTCATGCTGTACTGGGTAGCTCTCTTCACACCAAGCTTTTACAGATGGTTAAACCCACAGGTCTACCCATCTGTCATAACTCCTCTTCTCCCCAGGCCAGTCTCATCCCTTATTAAAGTAAATGAGTGGTAGATGTTGTCCCACTGGGGGTGATATTTGGTGGGAGGGCAGACAAACCCAGGGGAATCCACCAATCTCTTTAATTTACTTGTTCCACATTGCAATTGTAGGGACAACACCACTCCCTGCCCCATGAGTGAGGCAAAATAGGTCCTTGCAACAAGGTCAGTGCAAAGTATACTGTTCTGCTGCCTCAATGACTGGAGGAAAGCACTTTAATGTGGCTGTGAGGACAAACCCTCTGTAACACAGCTAGCCAAGGAAATGGTAGGATTAGAGTAGACAAGCAACATTCCATAAAACTTTGTGCAAAATAGAGTAGTACTGGACTACAACACTCTTCTTCACTGCCGGCATGACCATCTTTCTAGAAGAAAAACACTGGGGACAAGCTATATCTAGTCTGCTTTAAGACCCTTTGATATTAATATAGCTAAAGCAAATAGTTAAAGTTTTTTGGGTTCCACGGACTTCAGTGGGACCTGAATATATTCGTGTTTCACTGGATTGTGACTTTCAGGTTTCTTTCATTCTTAAGTGCACTGTCATACTAATATTTGCTACATCGCTTTCCTATTAATAAGCCAATTATAGAAATGACGTGTCTTACTATTGGTTACCGATTCTCTATTACATTAACATTTGGCCCAAACAAAAGGTATTCTGAGCCTTTTCCCATGGCATTTCTGATTAGGATAATTTAATATATCGCAACAAAAGGAAATCTATGAAACAGTGTATGGGCGATGTAGAAACAATGGCTTGCAAGGATAGAAAGGTACAAAGAGGTGCACTCAATGGCATTGGCTTATATTAGATTTGGCTAAGTTTCTTTTCCTTTTTCTTATCTCGTGCCTTTAATTGTTTTAGCTTTTTATTTTTTATGCCTTTTCTGCACTTTGGCTAAAACAATTTATCTCAAAAGGGAATAGCATGATGGGAAAATAGGTATGGATGCATGCAATGAAATTGGCGGCATTCTTTCTAGATGTCAATACAGCACAACTATTTCCTATTTTAAATATTTCAAATATTTGACTATCAAATATTTGCTATTCAGAATCTTTCAAAGAATAAATAGAAATTACTTTGATATGCTTTGTCAGTACTTTGCTTTTCATTTCTCCCTGGTTCCACGTGTCAAATTTTCATTCTTCTTCTTCTTCTGTAACTAAGAAAAGATGACTGAAATGGAGTAACTGAAAGATATGTCATTTCATAAATCAACTATGTCAACCACTGTGTTATTAGACATCACACATCAATATTATTACTGTGTGGGATCCACAAAGATAAATGGAATCTTCAGTGGCCCCTGCAAATCCTCCCAAAGCCAAAGCAGGAACTGAAGCCATTATAAGCGTTGTATTTATTTCCAACTGTTAGGTGTTCCAGCTAAGAAAAGCCACATAGGTTTTGCACAGAAACATACTGTTTCCTGCCAAGGGTGGTGGGGCAGACATTCTAATTAAGATTGCAACAGCCCCTGCATATTACCTTCGTCTGAAAATCCTTTGTCTGAATTTAAAGTAGACTGATCTGCATATCCCTGTGAGTAATGTTTGCATCAGAGATGACCATAAAGACTTCAAGAACCGCACTGGATCAGACCAATCATACAACTGCCCCAGCATACTTCTTTTCTGTGGCAGGCTCAAGCTTCTATAGGAACTCATGAGCAGTTACGAAAATAGGGCCCTGTTGTTCTGCTGCAACTGGTATTCAGTGGTGTTACTGCTATCATGAATAGCAGCAATCCAAAGTCCTGCCATTTTGGAACTGGTCTTGCTCCCTTTTAAAATATACTAGATAATGGCCATCACCAGACCTAGTAGAAGTGAGTTCCACAGACTAACTGCACATTGCTTAAAGAACTGGAAACCACTGAGCGGCCATTCAGTGTTCACAATTCTGACATTGTTTCAAATAATTTGCAAAGGTTTTTTTGACAAGAGAGGATAAAGGGGACAAAATAAACCAGGGTGGCCACCACAAACAATGCTTTCAATTGCATTTTTCAGTACTCTTACAATCTTTTTCTCCCACCAGCTTCACAGTGTCTCCCATTTCTGTACAGAATCCTTTCTTAAACCCCAATTTCAGGGCTGAGATGAGTTCACAAAGTCTCCACAAATGCAACAAGACAGGAAATGCAGTTCAGTAGGAAGAGCAGCACAAATATGGAATGTTTACACACGTACCTGCCTGACAAGATAAGATATCAAGCAGGTGATGATTTACTAATTGGAGTTTAAACTGCCCCTGAAGAACAAAGTACATTTTCATGTGGGGGATTTCTTTTGGAATGAACTATCTTAAGAATAGCACTGAGCATGATTTAATTGTTTAAATTTACAGTAACTACTTAGCTAAATAAGGGGAAGCCAGATGAGGAGTCGTGTAAGAAAATAATTAAAACTACAAACCTTATTAAACTTTTGTTCTAAGTTTTGTGAACCCCACCAGGAGAAGTTTCCTTATGAAAGGAAGTGGAGAATTTTCTTCCTAAAGTTGCAGCTTGGAATAGGACAAGTCAGGAATAGGGAAATTTTAGGGAGGTTGAAAGTCAAGAAAATGCAGCAAAAATCAGAGAGGGCAGTAGCCTGAATTTTATTAGCAGGAGTTCCAAAGTCTTGGAGCAATGGATTGGAAAGACCATGTATATTGCCTTGTACTATATTGTAGAAAAGTGTCTAGCTTTTATTTTATTTGGCTGCTAAGAAGTCTTAGCCACCTAAGCAAAATATTGCCTTCTAAGTAGGCCGGCAGAAGTGGGATATAACATCTGACAGCCTACTTGATTAGTATGCTGGCTGCACAACTTCGTTGGTAATCACAGAAATTGACTTTGTGTCAGTGTTCTCATGTTCCGTTGCTCAGTCTGAAAGTGAACCAAATTTCAGCAGCCAGTTAAAATGAACTTTATCCTATTGGGAGGGAGACAAAGGCTTGCTCGGCTCTCTGTTGCACAACATAAAACTTGGTTCTCAGGAACTATAGCTGTCATTTAAAACAGCCCCAAGAGTGGACAGGCCATAGACCTTCTTGATATTAGCTACTCTCTCCCACACATGTCAGCGCAGAGAAACAAAAATAAATCATACATGATGCACAGTTGGAAGTATCAGATACCACTAAAGTCCTCCTTAGCAACCAGTTGGTAGAAAATAGGGCTTTTTAAAAGGAAAATTTGCTTCAAAGCCAAGAAGAAATGTGAATTGTAGGGATGGAACAAATCTGAATTTAAGGGAATGAACTTGAATGGGAAGAAACCTATCTTTGATCTGATCTGATCTGATCTGATCATACATTGTGAACTATCCTTGGAAGTTACTTGATACCCATCCAAAGTTTTCAATATTATTATCTGAGAGATTCTGCACGATCTGCATTAATCTATAGCAACAATGTAAGAATTTATATGTACAGTAGTGTTAGTAATAAGAGGTGGTAGAACCTAACTATCCCTGACTGATCTTGAAAAACTGAAGCAGGACAGGACTTGGTTAGTACTTGTGGAGGAGACCAGCAGGAAATACCAAGATTGCAAATTAGACCTGGAAGTTTAAAAAAAAAAAAAAAGCAATGGCAAGAACACAGGATGGACATGCCCATTCAATCACCCAGATGTGAGCTTGACTCAAGGGAGATAATATTAGGTTATTACATATACCAGCTGCTAAGGCATCTCTGAACTCTGCACTTATGTAACTGTTGTTAGGGAAGTGGGCCACTGAAGACATTGAAAGCTTTTGGACTGGCAGACAGATAAGAACACAGTACCTTTTTTGAGCCTCTAAGAAGCTTCATGTGTTCTTGCATGAAGACCCAGATGCCTAATTAAATAAATGCCCAAAGCTCACCAAAATCTTTGGTGAGGTAGACATGGTAAGATCTAATAAGATATTGGCATTACTTCAAGATTTCACAACTTTAACATTGTTTGAATTGGAGGAGGAGGGAGTCTGGGAGTATACCTTAGAGATCATCTGGGCACCATTTGCCAGCTCCAAGCATTGGAGTTTGAAAGCCAAGCATATATAACAGGACCACCCCACATTCTAAAATCTAAGTGTTGAAGACAGTGCACAGAGGAGCCATAACTGAGAGCCAACAGAAGCAATACTGGTGCTGTAAGTAAACTGTGGGCAAATACTGTAGGGTCTCAAGATCTTCCATGATACTTGTGGGCAGATAAATTTCTACTCATGTGTCTTTGGGGAAGAATAAATTCCCCAACAGTTTCACAGAGGTGGAATAACCCAGCATGAATTTTTTTCTTAATTTCCTGCACATTTTATAGGGATTTTATTTTTGTGCTGTTATTATAAGCAGCAGCAGCAGCAGCAGCAGCAGCAGCATAAACTGTGTTGGCAGCTTGACCACCATTTTGCATTCTTCATTATGCTCCAGTTGTTACTTTGTTCTAGGACATTGTTGGAGGGAACTGATGGCTATCACATATACCCATTCGCACACAAACACACATGTTGAATAAAGTTCGGAGAAGCAAAGTGACCTTCTTTTTCTAAGAATGAGTCAGAGAAAGAAACACTCAGACATTTTTCCAAGAAAATGTTTTAACTCCACTCTGTTTGAAAGTGCAGGAAGACTGGAGAGAGCTGGTAGAAGGGCCAGAGAAAGAGGATAAAAATAAGATAAAGCAATACCTGAGAAGGAGCCGTCCTGACCTCTTTCATAGCATCATCTATTTGTTTCAGCTCCTCATAGCGATCTCTGGATTCCCAAAGTGGCTGGAGCATTACTTCTTCAACTTCTGGAAAAAGCTAAAATAACGGAGAAAGAAAAGTTAACAATGCTTATTATGACTGGTTAAAAAAAAACATGCTAACATTATATATGGCAGTGAAGGGTTTGGGAGTAGGATTGTGGGAAATTGACACCTGCATTTTATAAAATCCTACAGAAAGAAAATATTAATGGAGAAAAAAAATGTAAAAATGTTAAATGAGGGCACCGTTTTAGTTGGTCAAAAGGGTTTTGATGAAATATTCCAGCTAACCTTACCTTTGTTACAGTTTCAAACATTGGAATAAGAACAAACTTGAGGAAGCCAATCTGTGCTGTTGGCTTGGTTACTTTGTCTCGGTCCATAAAAGGTGCCACTGGAAGGCCTTCAGACTTTTCCCGGTCACTCTACAATAGATATAGCAATGTGTCATAGTAATGTTAATCCACAAACCATATCATTTATACATTTTTAGTTATATATCTAATAAACTTTATACAACCTGTATTTTAGCCCAAGCAGGGCCTCCTAAGTGGTGCTCAACAATATAAATAGAGTTTCAGAACAAGAGTCCCAACTGACAGCTGAGTCATAAATGTCTTGAGATATCTGCCGCCTTCTCTGGACTGGTACAGTGTAATGTAGAGAAAAGGGACCTAACCCTTTCCTACATTTAGATACATATTTTTTCTTCAAAATAAAAGGGGCCAGATTAAGCCGACTTCAAAAACACTGTGAATAAATTAACATGTGATGCAGATTAATTGAAAGAAAGATCTACTCTCATGAGCTACTATTCTTTTGTGGTTTTATACATTTATATATGTATAAATGTTTGTTTGTAGATAGACAGGCAGACACACAAATAAACACCAACATAAAATTGTTGGTCAAAGTTAGCTATTTTCTGGTGAGGGGAAGATGTTAAATTTTTTTTTTAAAAAGCACAACTCCTCTTCCTCTTTTCTGTTCTCAATTACCATCAAACCTTACCTGATGTTATATCACCGCGATGGCTTAATCTTGGCATGTGAACCATTCCTTTATTTTCATTTACTGCTACCTATAACCACCTCCAAAGGAGAGGTCTAGTAAAGTGATGTTTCAGAACTAACTAGACTGTTCTTTTAAAAATGGCCAGAGTTTCCTTCCCTCTCCTTCCTTTCTCTTAACATTATTCACTGATTACAGGCTTAGCTATGAAAGTTTCAACATCTATCACTGGATGCACCTAGGGCTGCCTAGTTAGCAGTGTTTTCTTCAGATCTTACCTGTTTGAGTTTCAAAACTGTTTACATGCTGAGCTAACTCACTCTCACAACTCTGCAAGAGAGAACAAGCAGCTTTCCAGTAACTTTTACACTGTTTGGCTATTGTCATCTTTCTAGGTTACAAATTGCAGCAAACTGCAGTTAGACATAAAATTGACTACTGAAAGTGTTTTCAACATAGTGGATCTACAGACTTATCCCAAGATATTTTTCTAATAGAAACAAAAGACAAAACAGTGTCGCAAACCTCCCTCCCCATCATCCATGTGTAGAAGGCAACTAGACTGGCTGCTGAATCTTAGTGTAACAATAACCAGGACACGGCAACTACTGTCAACCCAGCTGGCTAGCTTTTGGTGTGCAGGGAAGGTCAAGTTGAGCTTACAGACCCATACGTGAAGGGAGCCTGTATGGGGATTGCTTGTGCAGCTATTTCTCTTCCACTGTTCTGGTATCTACTACCACTTTCTCGTTATGCCATATAACAAAACCAGTCCTGTGATTCTAGCATGGCGACATTGTTACTGGATAGACTTCAGCTGGAGTTTAAAAGTATAAATCGTTATGGTGGTTCAACTGAAACTGTGTATCTTTTTACCTGCATAAAGTATTCTTCTAATAAGCAGTCCACCCACGGCTCTGCCACCTCCATGGGGCGAACTTCATTGGAGATATCGCAGCACTTGATCAGTATCATCTTCAGCTGACAACAGCAAAGCAGTTTACAGTGTGAGATCTTTGTTTTATCTGCCAGTGCTTCTTCCACTTTGTTGTGGAAAGTCAGCAGTGAAATTAATACCAAATCCAATATGATTAGTTTAAAGCAATGGACTCTCTGTATTGATCAAAGCAAAACATACAGCCAAATTAGAAATCCTTCCATGTTCCGATCTATGCATGACAGGAGGGGGGCCTTTCGTTCAGGTTGCCTGCCCTTTCATTTAACTGAAAAGAGTAACAGCATATTTTTACATATCCTCTCAGCCAAGGCAGCCTGTCCTCAACTCATCCGCTTTCAAATCCATGTTTTGGCATGGAGAAATTGCTAAATGTAGAAGTTAAAAATATAAAAGCTGGCATTCTGCAAAATGGTGATTCAATACTCAGCATTTTGAACATGGACAATAGGTGGAAACTCTATGGCCCACCAAAGGTTCTAATACTATAACTCCCAGCAGCTTAGGCAAGCATAGCCAATGCAAGGCTGTGGGAGACTGGTTCAGGGTCATCTCAAGGGTCACAGATTCCCCACAAATAGGTAAGATTCCTCTGAAATGGCTATATTCTTGAGCTTCCATTCTAAGTTCATTGCAAAAGGGAGAAGGGCCAGAAGCTGTGCAACATTTTCCAGGCACCAGCTAAAAAGAAAAAAGGGGAAAAACCCCTATAACTCCTTCCCACTACATCACTAGGGGTGATATGGAGAAACAGCAACAACAAAAACAGCTTTGCCTCTCCTGCAGTGGTTGTCAAGCATTCTGCCAGATGCTTATTCCATCTTAAATGATGTTAAAATAGGTATATGAGTGTTCTAATGTTGCTTTCCTAGCCCCATCCCTTTTGTGTAATCTTTTTAGATAGAGATGGTCAGCCTTTGGAGGGGTATTTTGGGTGAGAAGCAAAATCTACAATGGGTGGGGTAATGATACAAAGGATCACCCATGAAAGTGGGGCTGAGATTTATAGCATCCCTGGAATGGCTTGGCAACCATAGTTTCTTTTCTTTTTTTTAATGGTTTTGGGGGAAGACAGAGAGGGTTTTTAAATATATTTTTAAAATATGCTAAGACTATCAGCCCTTCTACAGTAGCAAATCTGACCCAAAACCAGCCCTTCCTATGGTAATACAAAAAACTGCTGTCATCACCATGCATTGTCCTAACTCTTTTTGCTGTTTCTTGTGTTTTATGGTACAGAAAACAGGGATTTAATCCTGGCCTGGATTGAGACAAGGCCAGCTTCATGGGAACTATGGTTGCCAAGCCATTCCAGGGATGCTATAAATAATTAAGGGAATAGCTCATTTTTAAGGCTTACAAAGCAGATCTCATGCATTTTCCCATCTCCAAATGATGAGAAACCACAAGGCTGAGGTTTTTGGATGCATGGAGGTTCGAGGAATGCAGAGAAAGCAGGATTGTCTTTTTTTATTGATCCTTAAACCACGTTGGGGAATCCTTTCCATCTGAATAAATGCTAAATGCAAATAAAGAAAAGCATCTTACCTGAGTTACATGTTCTTCATTTGAATAGTCAAACTTATCTAAGATTTCTTTGAAAGAATCCAGTATTTCAGCATGCCGTGCCATGTCTGTTGCTAGGATTAATGTAATTATCCCCTACATTTTTTAAGGAAAAAAAAAAAAAGAGGAAACCATTTATACTTCTTCAAGTAGAAATATTCTAGCTTTCCACATATTATTACCACCCCTTGTTCAATTTTCCCCTTTCTGGACATGACATATTCTGGAGAAGAAAGCAATGTTGAAGGAAAGAAATGACAATAAGGACCAAACCTAACACAGAGTTATGCTGAAACTCTATGTTAGGAGTTTCCATTATAATTATCTTTTTTGTAGTGAGCTATGGTGGGCAAATTTGGATCAGGTCTATAACCATGGCATTAACTTCAAGTATTTTGGAACTTCTATTAGCCATACAAGGGAAAACGTGTAGGTATATATTTTTCCCTCTTCTGCAGGTAAATGCCACTGCATGGCAGAAGGGTTGATCAGGTCTATAACCATGGCATTGACTCCAAGTATTTTGGAACTTCTATTAGCCATACAAGGGAAAACGTGTAGGTATATATTTTTCCCTCTTCTGCAGGTAAATGCCACTGCATGGCAGAAGGGTTGATCAGGTCTATAACCATGGCATTGACTCCAAGTATTTTGGAACTTCTATTAGCCATACAAGGGAAAACGTGTAGGTATATATTTTTCCCTCTTCTGCAGGTAAATGCCACTGCATGGCAGAAGGGTTGATCAGGTCTATAACCATGGCATTGACTCCAAGTATTTTGGAACTTCTATTAGCCATACAAGGGAAAACGTGTAGGTATATATTTTTCCCTCTTCTGCAGGTAAATGCCACTGCATGGCAGAAGGGTTGATCAGGTCTATAACCATGGCATTGACTCCAAGTATTTTGGAACTTTTTCCCTCTTCTGCAGGTAAATGCCACTGCATGGCAGAAGGGTTGATCAGGTCTATAACCATGGCATTGACTCCAAGTATTTTGGAACTTTTTCCCTCTTCTGCAGGTAAATGCCACTGCATGGCAGAAGGGTTGATCAGGTCTATAACCATGGCATTGACTCCAAGTATTTTGGAACTTCTATTAGCCATACAAGGGAAAACGTGTAGGTATATATTTTTCCCTCTTCTGCAGGTAAATGCCACTGCATGGCAGAAGGGTTGATCTGGCTTTGGTGCTTCTGCATGACCTGAGAACTGCTTTAACAAAACATCAAGAATGGGAGTGCCAGCATAATATGTTCTTTAAATAATATGTTTTGTGATTTCAGCCAATCCATTTAAAGCATAATGTTATTTTTTTTTCATTATGTTATGTGTTGTGTTATATTACACCATGTTATGTTATACCCTCTTCTCTTTAGCATTTCCTTAGGGCTTTTACAAAAAACAAAAATTGCAATAAAACCTGTTAAAGATATTAATACATTGTAATATAAAAAGCCATAATGTTTTTCTAAATGTATCTGCAATATCCTTCCTCAAACTGGCTCTACTTCCCACTTGTGTTAAACTACAATTCCCATCGTTCCAACTACGATAACTAGGGGTGATGTGTATTGTATTTAATCTAACTGAAAGACACCAGCTTGTCTATGAGATTAAGTTTGACTGTTGCTGATGCTTCTATTGAATTTCTCAAATGAGAGATGTTGACTTTTAAAGATGTCTAGGAGAATTCTTTTTGACCTGTATGTTTTACCTCCTAGCTCTAGACTTTGAGAACTTCCTACCAAAGTCACTCTTGGCATGCTCAAAGACCCAGTGCTCTTTCTGCTGTTTCATATGTTTCAGAGAGCAGTTGAGACATTTCGGTAAAACAGGTTCAGAGGTTAAGCTCTCTAAGTTTCAATCTATCGAGGTAATGGTTGGTGAATCTCTAGCCACTCAGATATTGTGTCTCTACCATCATGCCTGCCCAACAAGAGTTTATAGAACTGTAGTCAAACATAATTTTGAGACCACAGATTCCCTAGTCCTGAGCCAGACCGGCTGAACTCAGTTGCAGGTCTACGTGACACAGAATGCATGTAGAGGTGAACTTTGCCTCAGCCTTGGAACCCATACCTGTCTTATCCGTTTGAACTGTTCCTTATCAACACTGGAGAAAATGTTGCATTCTGGCTGTGCAAGGATCTGGAAAGCCACAGCACAGTGATGATTCTCTAGCGGGGAAATGTCATTATAGCGCACAGCAAGCTCTGTCCGTGCATTGATCTGGTACCTGAGGTAAAGCAAAGGCATCAACAGAAATGTACTAGTGGTCCCAGAGGATTAGCTCATTTCTACAGTGGAATCAAAAGCGGAGGGTTGGGGGAATAATAAGTTCCAGATGGCATATGGAAAATAGAAAGTGAAAATAGAATATGAAAAGAAATCTCAAAACTGAACGTATCTCACGTGGCACATTCTTTCATGGGCTGTGGTCAAGCCTTATGCAAGCAGACAACAAGGCTTTCCTGTCTTTGCTCTCCATTCCAGTCTCATAACAGCACCCTTGGAAAAGTCTTGTTGGCTGCCCTTACGAAAGACCTCGGAGGTGACACCAATGGAGGCAGTGAAAGAAAATAACGGGAGGGAACAGGAAAGCCATATAGCCCAACTGGCTTTGTGCACACATCAGGTTTGGGTTAGAACAACACAGTAGAAACTGGATCTAACAAAGAGGTAGACATGTGTGTTTACAGCTGCAGTTTTGCATACTCTACTGCTTTAGCAGTTACCCCTGCAAAGAGGGAACTGCTTATTAAACTGAATCCTGCAATGGTAAATCTGCAGCAAACGTAACCAAGCTTTATCTGCGTGCATCTGTGAACACAGATATATACTTTTCTGCAGGGAACTAACTTTCCCTTGTAGGAAGGTAGGTAGGTAGGTAGGTAGGTAGGTAGGTAGGTAGGTAAGTAGGTAGGTAGGTAGGTAGGTAGATAGAT